CTTACATTAGTATTATAATGGTTCTTCAGCCCAGAGCAATCTCACACCGTTCGACTGCACATACAGCAGCTTACATTAGTATTATAATGGCTCTTCAGCCCAGAGCAACATCACGCCGTACGACTTCACATACAGCACCTTACATCAGTATTGTAATGGTGCTTCAGCCGAGAACAACATCACACCGTATGACTGCACATACAGCAGCTTACATTAGTACCATATTGGCTCTTCAGCCCAGAGCAACCTCACACCGTACGACTGCACATACAGCAGCTAACATTAGTATTATAATGGCTCTTCAGCCCAGAGCAACATCACACCGTACGACTGCACATACAGCAGCTTACATTAGTATTATAATAGTTCTTCAGCCCAGAGCAATCTCACACCGTTCGACTGCACATACAGCAGCTTACATTAGTATTATAATGGCTCTTCAGCCCAGAGCAACATCACACCGTACGACTTCACATACAGCACCTTACATCAGTATTGTAATGGTGCTTCAGCCCAGAGCAACATCACAGCGTACGACTGCACATACAGCAGCTTACATTTGTACCATATTGGCTCTTCAGCCTAGAGCAACATCACACCGTACGACTGCACATACAGCAGCTTACATTAGTATTATAGTGGCTCTTCAGCCCAGAGCAACATCACAGCGTACGACTGCACAAACAGCAGCTTACATTAGTATTATAACTAATCCTCAGCCCAGAGCAACCTCACACCGTACGACTGCACATACAGCAGCTTACATTAGTATTATAATGGCTCTTCAGCCTAGAGCAACATCACACCAGTACGACTGCACAAACAGCAGCATACATTAGTATAACAACTAATCCTCAGCCCAGAGCAACCTCACACCGTACGACTGCACATACAGCAGCTTACATTAGTATTATAACTGATCGTCAGCCTAGAGCAACATCACAGCGTACGACTGCACATACAGCAGCTTACATTAGTATTATAATGGCTCTTCAGCCCAGAGCAACATCACACCGTACGACTGCACATACAGCAGCTTACATTAGTATTATAATGGCTCTTCAGTCCAGAGCAACCTCACACCGTACGACTGCACATACAGCAGCTTACATTAGTACCATATTGGCTCTTCAGCCTAGAAAAACATCACACCGTACGACTGCACATACAGTAGCTTACATTAGTACCATATTGGCTCTTCTGCCTAGAGCAACATCACATCGTACGACTGCACATACAGCCGCTTACATTAGTATTATAATGACTCTTCAGCCTAGAGAAACATCACAGCGTACGACTGCACATACAGCAGCTTACATTAGTATTATAATGTATCTTCAGTCCAGAGCAACATCACACCGTACGACTGCACATACAGCAGCTTACATTAGTATTATAACTGATCTTCAGCCCATAGCAACATCACACCGTACGACTGAAAATACAGCAGCTTACATCAGTATTATAAGCGATCTTCAGCCCAGAGCAAGCTCACACCGTACGACTGCACATACGGGAGTTTACATCAGTATTATAACTGATTTTCAGCCTAGAGCAACCTCACAGCGTACGACTGCACATACAGCAGCTAAAATTAGTATTATAACTGATCTTCAGCCCGGAGCAACCTCACACCTTACGACTGCATATACAGCAGCTTACATCAGTATTATAATCTCTTCAGCCCAGAGGAACATCACAGCGTACGATTGCACATGTAGTTGCTTACATTAGTATTATAACTGATCTTCAGCCCAGGTCAACATCACACCGTATGACTGCACAAACAGCAGCTTACATCAGTATTATAAATGTTCTTCAGCCCAGAGCAACCTCACACCGTATGACTGCACATACAGCAGCTTACATCAGTATTATAACTGATCTTCAGCCCAGAGCAACATCACAGCGTACGACTGCACATACAGCAGCTTACATTAGTATTATAACTGATCTTCAGCCCAGAGCAACCTCACACCGTATGACTGCACATACAGCAGCTTACATCAGTATTATAATCTCTCTTCAGCCCAGAGCAACATCACAGCGTACGACTGCTCATATAGTTGCTTACATTAGTATTATAACTGATCTTCAGCCTAGAGCAACATCACACCGTACGACTGCACATACAGCAGCTTACATTAGTATTATAATGGCTCTTCAGCCCAGAGTAACATCACACTGTACGACTGCATATACAGCAGCTTACATTAGTATCATAATAGCTCTTCAGCCAAGAGCAACATCACACCGTATGACTGCACATACAGTAGCTTACATTAGTACCATATTGGCTCTTCAGCCTAGAGCAACATCACATCGTACGACTGCACATACATCAGCTTACATTAGTATTATAATGACTCTTCAGCCTAGAGAAACATCACACCGTACGACTGCACATACAGCAGCTTACATTAGTATTATAATGTATCTTCAGTCCAGAGCAACATCACACCGTACGAATGCACATACAGCAGCTTACATTAGTATTATAACTGATCTTCAGCCCAGAGCAACATCACACTGTACGACTGCACATACAGCAGCTTACATCAGTAATATAACTGATCTTCAGCCCAGAGCAACCTCACACCGTACGACTGCACATACAGCAGCTTACATCAGTATTATAACTGATCTTCAGCCCAGAGCAACCTCACACCTTACGGCTGCATATACAGCAGCTTACATCAGTATTATAATGTATCTTCAGCCCAGAGCAACATCACAGCGTACAACTGCACATACAGCAGCTTACATTAGTATTATAATGTATCTTCAACCCAGAGCAAGATCACACCGTACGACTACACATACATCAGCTTACATCAGTATTATCATGTATCTTCAGCCCAGAGCAACATCACACCGTACGACTGCACATACAGCAGCTTACATTAGTAGTATAATGTATCCTCAGCCCAGAGCAACCTCACACCGTACGACTGCACATACAGCAGCTTACATTAGTACCATATTGGCTCTACAGCCTAGAGCAGCATCATACCGTACGACTGCACATACAGTAGCTTACATTAGTACCATATTGGTTATTCAGCCTAGAGCAACATCACACCTTACGACTGCATATACAGCAGCTTACATCAGTATTATAATGTCTTCAGCCGAGAGCAACATCACAGCGTACGACTGCACATACAGCAGCTTACATTAGTATTATAATGTATCTTCAGCCCAGAGCAACCTCACACCGTACGACTACACATACATCAGCTTACATCAGTATTATAATGTATCTTCAGCCCAGAGCAACATCACACCGTACGACTGCGCATACAGCAGCTTACATTAGTAGTATAATGTATCTTCAGCCGAGAGCAACATCACACCGTGCGACTGCACATACAGTAGCTTTCATTAGTACCATATTGGCTCTTCATCCCAGAGCAACATCACATTGTACGACTGCACATACAGCAGCTTACATTAGTATTATAGAGGCTCTTCAGCCAAGAGCAACATCACACCGTACGACTGCACAAACAGCAGCATACATTAGTATTATAACTAATCCTCAGCCCAGAGCAACCTCACACCGTACGACTGCACATACAGCAGCTCACATTAGTACCATATTGGCTCTACAGCCTAGAGCAGCATCACACCTTACGACTGCACATACAGTAGCTTACATTAGTACCATATTGGTTATTCAGCCTAGAGCAACATCACATCGTACGACTGCACATACAGCAGCTTACATTAGTATTATAATGTATCTTCAGTCCATGGCAACATCACATCGTACGACTGCACATACAGCAGCTTACATCAGTATTATAACTGATCTTCAGCCCAGAGCAACCTTACACCGTACGACTGCACATACAGCAGCTTACATATTAGTATTATAACTGATCTTCAGCCTAGAGCAACATCATACGTACGACTGCACATACAGCAGCTTACATTAGTATTATAATGGCTCTTCAGCCCAGAGCAACATCACACCGTACGACTGCACATACAGCAGCTTACATTAGTATTATAATGGCTCTTCAGCCCAGAGCAACCTCACACCGTACGACTGCACATACAGCAGCTTACATTAGTACCATATTGGCTCTTCAGCCTAGAGCAACATCACACCATACGACTGCACATACAGTAGCTTACATTAGTACCATATTGGCTCTTCAGCCTAGAGCAACATGACATCGTACGACTGCACATACAGCAGCTTACATTAGTATTATAATGACTCTTCAGCCTAGAGAAACATCACATCGTACGACTGCACATACAGTATGTACATTCCTAAAACGCATTGAACGTATGTACACTCATCAATCAGGAATGTTGACCGTCAGGTGATCGTTGGTTCAGTGAACAAGTGTCAGGTCAATAAGGGCAGAAAGGTTGGTTCTTTTGATGTCGGGTACGCGTCTGGGCACTCAGTCGAAAGGCAGGCATCTCATCCACAGGAACGGAGGTAGACACTTTGGTATGAAACGATGCTAATACCGTGGCATCATTCTTGGCGGTGTCCTTCCAGTCCAACGTATCTAACACTTGATTAAAAGTCCACCCACGCACACGATAGGTCAGCATGTAGAGACAGTACACCCCACACAACGTGCTGTATCCATGTTGTAAGGGGCGTGTATTCCATCGTTGTTGAATCTGACCCATGCGACCCAAAGTCTCTTTAAACAGGGGTAATGAATACAGTCCATAGCTATCCATCATTTCCACGGATCCAGGAGCTGGACGATAGATGCTCACCCAGTGTGTGCCAGGTTGATCGCTTAAATCTGTGTTGATCACATAGGCTTTGGGGTAAAAGGGGTCATCCTGTTGCCATCCCAGTCTGGCAAAGTCATCTCTGGCCAGGGTGCCCCAGTAGATGGCATGAAGTGGTTCGTCATCAGCCACGAGGGCTTCTAAATCCAAGGTGCTAAACCCGAGTGGTTCATCCATGGTTCCTTGTAGGAGGAGAAAAAGTGTGGCATGACCGTCTGTCGCTGCTCTTTTTATACCATCATCGCATTCCGGAAACGATCTATTTCCAGAACATTTTCGTATTCCTCATAGCAGATGAGGGTGACTGGGTCCTCGAGAGCTTGTCCAAACTGGATTTCCAAACCCAACTTGCCAGTGTGTCGAGGGTAGTTGATGCCTTCATCAGCGCCAAGGTCTGGGGTGAGATCCACCACCCACAAGGTGTAACCTTGAGTAAAGGCCTTGGGAGTCAGTTCGCAGGTCTCAGGGCGCCATAGCTGCCCCGTGTTTCGGAACAGATTCATGTAGACTTGTTTCAAATGGGCGCTGTTGTTGCTGAAGTCGCTTTTCATTTCCGTGCAATGTACTTCCTGGCCGTTGACTTTGAGCTTCATCATGGTGACATGATTGTGTTTGAAGTTGTACGGATTCTTCTCTTTGCTTCCTACGTAGGCACTATTGTCCACCAGTCCCAGGACCATGCGTTTTGGTAATTGGCCACCGATGAGGTGATCCTTGTGAAAGTCCCTACCGCCTCTCGGGATGTCATGGGCAGTCACATGCACACGTGAAAGGGGATACTTGGCAGTCACCCCATACGGTTGAGGGTTTTCACCAAATCTTCAGATGAATAGACGCCTTTCTCAATAGGAATCTTCTTGCTTTCATAATGGACGACACCATACTGTTGGTGTGGTGTAGCGCTCCCCGCGCTTTCATACACAAGGGTGTCTTTTTTCAGTTTGAGGTTCAGCGCAAACCAGTCAAAGGGTGGGGCGACGTTGTACCATGTCATCGGAAAGTGAACTTCGCTGATGCCCACCTCCCACTGTTGCCGGTCCAGATGCAGAGGATAAGGCAACTTGATTTCATACACATTGACGGTGTTGTTTGGCTAGATGTCCATGGAGGCATCACTGGGCAGGGTCATGTAAAAGTCTTGTTTCAAACTGTACCATGCTCATGATGATCACGCCATATATCACAATGATCTGAGCAAAAAACACGACTTCACTGCGGGGTAACGTCATGCCAAAACAACACCAAGGTGAGTGTCGGCGCTGCTGATGACGGTTCATCGGTACCCACAGATGCTGAGAGGCTTCTCTGCAGAGGTGATGACGGTGGTGGTGGTGGTGGCGGTTCTGTCATCGCGTGTGTCCATCCTCTGAATGAGTCTGAGAGACAGCATGCTCCTTATTTTATCTGTAAATGATCTGCAGGGATCCACGAATTAAAACTGGCAGGGTAGCCAGTCCATTTCACCAAGACCTCTTCTTGACCCTGTTTCGGTCCTGGACGTCTTTTCAGCACGCGATCCATGGCATACACATCGTCTGTTTTCAAGATGGGTTGTATTTCTTCAGGGTAAAAAGTTCCTTGGAGGACTTCACTATGATCATCTTTGATCCGATACACAGGAGGTGTTCTCCCTGTCATCAACCGATCCACCGTAAACAGTTCAGTGGTCCAATTGGGGAGATAACCTTTCTCAAAGGTGCCTTTGGTTTTGTTCAGACGTACACGGGTGCCCGGCAGTAAAAGAGAGGGTGATCTTGTCTTGGGGGACGACAGTCTTTGTGTTGTTATTTTCTTTTTGCGCTGAAGCCGTTGTTGTTGTTGTTTTTCCTCCATGAAGCCTAACACCCGAATTTCTGACAGGGGATCTCCTGGGAGAAGGTCCTCAGGTCGCTGGCCAATGGTCCGATGCACACGACGGTTGTACGACTTGATCAACTGGGGTAAGACTTTCAAATAGTGTCTGGTCCCATGCTGTGTAAAGTATCGCCACATTTTATTTTTCAGAGTCCTTTGAAACCGTTCCACCACGGCTGCTTTCGTTTCAGGATTTTGACTGGTGTAGAAATGAATGCGATGCTTCGTCATGAGAGCCTGGAAAGGACGGTTGACAAATTCTCTGCCTCTGTCTGTTTGCAATTGAGCAGGGAGTCGATCTTTGGCTTGTTGCATCAGCAAGGTTTGAAAACCTTCGGTCAAAGCAGAACTGCTCTTGGCCTTCAGGGGTTGCACCCATGCCATCTTTGAAAACACATCGATCACGCACAGCAGATATTTGAATCCTTCGTTGTCGTCTTGAAAGGCAATCATGTCACTCAAGTCTGCTTGCCACAGTTCATCGACCCCTCCCACACGATAGTGGTCTCTCGGAAAGGAGCGTCTGGCTGGTTTGTGCAAGGTGTAGGTACTTTTGGTTTGCCACTAACGCTTGATTTGACTTTGCGATGGCATGGTTTTCTTCTTGCTTTTACTGGTTCTTGCATCTTGAGCGTGGATGCGTGCTGCTTTCCACAAAGGTCGCCAGCCTCCAAAACTTGCAGGATGTTCAGGATGAAAGTAAGTTTTTTCCAACCAGGCCGTCCAAAGGGAAGTAGGAAATCCTTTGTTTTGTTTCCCTGCAGCAGCAGCAGAGGGAAGAATGCGCTGTCGCGTTTTGGTCTGTCGCTTCATTTCTCTCAGACTGATGCCACTTCCTACATGAATGGCCTTTTTATAGAGAAGGGGAGAGATTTATTTTTTCTTAGGTGGTGCTAAAGGGTATCCATGAACCTCGTCTGTTGATGACTCTGTCCTGTTTGGTATCAGATGGAGGTGGAGTCATCAACCATGGGGTTGACATCACATCTTTTTCTTCCTCCACTGGTGGATCCAGTTGCCACGAAGGAGGTGAGGGTGGCATCTCATCTTCTTCTTCTTCTTCTTCTTCTTCTGCTTGTGGATCCAGCTGTCGCCTCCTTCTTCTTCTTCTTCTCTCTTTGTGACTTTGCGGGGAGAACGTGGGGAGGGAGAACTGGGTTATGGGTGTTTCTGGTGTGGCATGAGGATGGTGTTGCTGCTGCTGCTGCTTCTGCATCCATTGCCATCGTTGAGGATTTCCAATTATTTCATGAGGGACATGACTGTTGGCCAAATGGTGACTCAAAATGGTCCAACCTGCAGGTGCCTCTTTGGTTTTCCGGTGACGCACTAAATCGTTGATCAAGTCCACCATGTGTGTGCCAGGGACAGGTTTCCCTTCCACGGTCAGGGTTCCCTCTGGAGTCCAACTCAAGTCGGGATTGTTTTGAATCCTTGTCTTCCTGGTGTCAGACCATTTATTACTTTCCTCCAAACAAAGAGGCTAGGGCAGATCCAATAAGAGGTATGAGTCCTCCTAATAATCCTCCTCCATGTTGAAGAAGTTTACGTTTCTTGCTTAGAGGTACTTGTTTTTTCATGAGCGTATTCAAGACTTTACCGTGTCGTTGCAAGTTTTGACGTTGCGTCGTGGTCATGGGAATATTGCCTGAATACAAGTTCACCACACATTCACAAAGGGCACGGATGAGATCAGTAGGAGCATGTTTGAGAATGGCTTTGCGCATCGCTGGAGCGGCAGCACACAAATGACACAGAGTGTGTTTCTGTTTCCTGAGGCACTGAGACATCTTTCTTGCATGAAGATGTTAGCCTGAATGAGTCACCTGATCTGCAGCTTCTCTCTTTTATCAGGCAGTGGCAGGAGGGAGTTGCAACTGTTGATCTGCCTTCTTGGACTTTCTTTGGGTCAGCATGTGCACCAATCGTCTGAGAGCATCAGCTTGATATGCTTTCATGACATTTTCATGAGCCTTTACTTTTGGCTTAGTAGTCATCGTTGTTGTTGTTGTAGGTCGGTGGCGCCGGGTGTTACCCTGTTTGAGGAGTGGTGCTTGAAGATAATGTTGCCATTGCAACAGAATGCGTGTCAAGACCCCTGCAAGTGTTCCACTACCACTGCGTTGCATCAGGTAGTCAAGACGTTCATCCATAGGCAGACGTGGATTGACAATTTTAGTCAGGGTATCATTATGTCTCTGCAACCACGTCTTATGTTGAGCTTTCAATGGGATGTGTCCTGCTCTCAGGTTCCGCACGACAATCGCAAACCACTGCAAAAGACGATTTCTTCCTTTGACGGCAAGGGTTGTCGCATCTCTTGTTGGAAAAATAGACGGTCTCTTGTCTTTTTTCTTCCTTCGTGGGGACTCCTGCTGCTGCAGACGTTGAAAGCGTTGAAGATCGAGTGGGGGTGAGGGTGCTGATGAGGAAGGCCGTTGTTGTTCCTGACGATGCTTGTTCAAGGGTACCATCGAAGAGTAAGACGGACCTGGTGTGGACTTCTGCTGTTGCTGTTGCAGAGGTTGAAAGCGTTGAAGATCATGTGGTGACGATGGTGCTGATGATGTTGAAGGACGTGGTGATGGCTGCTGCTGACGATGCATGTTCACGGGTACCATTGAAAAGGGAAACGATCCTGGAGGTGAAGGAGTCTTGTGAAATACAGAGGTCACAAGTCCCTGTAGCGATGAGGGGGAGACCATACTGTCATAGACATCATTCACCATCTCTTTGTCTTTGTTCTTTCCCTTCGTAGGATGAACCTGTTTCCGTCTTTGCACCATGATGGATGTAGGTCAACTGAAGGAAGGTCTGAGGGTTCACCTCCTTATATGAAAGTCTCTTCATCTCATAGGATCGGCACATACACGAGGGGTAATTCGGATCTCGAAAACAGGCGGGCGCGTACGCGATGGTCTTGCAACGTGGTGGGCTTCAAGTCCAAGAACAGGTAAGTGTAAGGCTCTCGGGTAGGGTCTTCATAGGCTTCACACAGAAAAGGAACTTTGCCTGGAAACACCTGGCGAGCCAGACTGTCGATCTGCGATGCATCTCTCGGATTTTTAAAGAGGACCATGTAGTGAGCATTCAGACTGATGGTGCGATGTTGCGGCGATTAAGCAAACAAGTTCTGAGTGAGATACAGCACAGATGTGTTTCGGTGATGACTTTTCTTGGTGAACCATCGCAGCACTTCGGTTTCTTCTTCTTTCATATTGTCCCCCAGCAAATCATCGATGACCAGCCAATGTGGGGCCACCCCTTTTTCGGGCAAGGCACGATCCGCTTCTTTCATTCTGTGGACAAACTCAAGAGCGACCCCTAAGCGGTCTGCCATCTCTTCCAGTTCATGATGAAGCGGTTGCCATTCGCTGTACACCCACACGATGCGATGGGGTGACGTATCCAACACCTCGGGGCGATGCATCTGCTCCATACATGATTTCACAAAGGAACTTTTTCCTGATCCCGTGGGTCCCGCAATGAACATCGTAAAAGGATGGCGTAGGGTCAAAGGGCTGGTCATGACCTCTTCATCATCATGTGATGCCATCCTGTGTTCTGGCTGACTGACACCAGGCAACTGATCCTTTCAAGAATGACCTTTCTCTTTTATCTGTTATTTTTTTCTTCCTATGTCTCCCATGACCCATACAATTTCTTATGAAAAAAAGAAACACAACGGTCGGTCCATTTTAGAAAACCGGGGCTCGGACCAAGTGTCGGAACGAACCCATCAGCACGATGCGTTTTCGACCAATCAGGAAGCAGGGTGTCAGTGCCTCTCCAATAAAAAGAGCAAAGCCACGCACACAGTCACAGT